CCCCAAAACCCCAAAACCCCAAAACCCCAGATCTTAAGTTGTGCTAAGCAAGTATCATTTTAATTAAAATCAGTGAGATAATTTCGAATATACTTTTAATACATTAATAATATTTATCAGTTATAATATTAATTCTCGTAGAAATTAAATATAATGTCAAGTCTAGGAATAAAGTGTTTATAATTAAACTTTCATCAAGCTCATTAATTCTTGAATATCACATTAAATCATATAATCACCTCAATATCATTCCTTTTAGAAAGTTGATACTTTTCTCGAAGTTTTCGCTTGATGAAGCAATATGCTATTTTTTTTAATTTTATTTGAGGTTAAAAGCATCTAAGTAATGCTGGAAGATATGTTTAAAAGCATCCCATTTACACAAAAAGCATAATCTTTGATAGGTGAACTGATGGATAGAAACATCAATCAATTTGATTATTTTTTTTCCACTTTCATCATCAATTAGTCTCATCATTTTATTTGGATAAAAAGTTGATCCAAGAAAGAATACCAGCTCATTGAATAACTAATTTTAACTTAAGGCTGGGTCATCAATTTACTTTTCTTCAAATCCAAATGAGCTTTAAAATAGTTTTGCGACAAACCTTTAGATTGCGAATAGATAATATTTTTAATGTCGATTTCTGCTCACACTTGAATATTTTCTATTTTCATTGAATTACTAGAGATATGTTCTTCTTATCTCTCTAATTGCTGTTTTTAACGCGACATCCTTCCTTTTTACTGATTTTAAGTGAATTTCTTTTTAAATCTTAAGTAGCTCAAGGGATTCATGGGAATCTAATCTAAGAAAGTATTTTTTCTTGATTAGGTCGATCAGAGGAATAGTACTTATTTGTGAAATCTTAAAATCTTAATCTTTGTTGTATCATTCAATTGATAAGCTTTCTTCTAAGGATTAAAGATGATCGTTTTAATTCTCATGTTAGTTTACTGCTTGCAATTTTTATGATTTTTTCTAATTTAAGTACTCATTAGTGAATTTCGAGATACTATTTAAGGTAAAATCATAGTCACTTTGTAATAAATTATTTTTGTTATAACCATCTTGATTCAAGGAATTACCAAACATTAAATAGTATTCCTGACCATTTTCCTGAGAATTATTAGGATTTATTTGAAATTAATCTTCTTAAACATTCATGAAATTTTGATTTTAATCTAGATAGTTAACATTTTATGGAGAATCATCGTCGTGTTGTTGATCATAGGAGTTTAAAATTGAAAATCCATATTACTTATTCAAATAATTTTCAAAAGACATTTCATCAAAGAATTATTTGTTATCTAGAATTTTTGTTTGAGGTTTGAGGACTTAATCAATTATCTAATCGAAAGTTATTGAATCAATGGCGAACTAAAACATTTGTTATTTTCAAAGAAGTTATTTCCTATTTATCTTGTTAATTATATAGAGCTTCACTTAATTTTAGAATTAAATAGGAGAAACTAGTTTCAGTCCAAATTTGCAATATTGATTAGATGGGGTTTTGGGGTTTTGGGG